GAGGTGACTGCGGAAGGAATGCAGAGGAGGCATCACAAGACTGAGTCACACAAAGGGGCAGATAGAAGGGGCCAGTGCAGCAGCTGACACAGCCATAACATCAAGGTCAACCTGTGTTGGGGATGCCCCGGGATGCCTGAATATCTGAAGGTCCCAGCAGATAACAGATGCTGGGGTGTGTGTCTGAAGCTCAGATCCAAAAGGGGAAAGATAAAGACTTGCAGATGAAGGTCATCAGGAATCTCTTCAGATTCTATTCAAATTCAACAAACCTAGGCTCACAGGGAGCGAGACCCTCCCAGGGAGAGGCTGTCTATGTCAGGGCAGTCTCTCCACCAGCTCAGGGCAGCCACTCCTCGGGCCACCTGTGACTACGCAGGTGCTTCTTTCCACCGGCTCTCTCCCTCTGCGGGCAGCAGCCTCCCGCTTTATCTTCTCTTCCTATTTCACTCCAGTTAGTGATAGAGGCTAATATTAGAAAATTTAGGATGGAAGAAATATTAAGACCAGAAACTAGAGGTGGCAGTAGAAATGATGAATATAGTCCTTAAACCAGTACATAAAGAAAATATCATTAAGCTCCAGTTGCTACAACAAATATTCAAGTGCTTAGAAGTCTCCGTACACCAGAGGTAGGGTATGCAGGTGCCGGCCATTGTAGAGAATCCCTGTCCTTAGTCCTTACAAGCCAACCCGATCACCCCCTAGAAGTAATTAATTCCTCCATAGATAACAATTCCACGAGAGAATAAGCCCTGCCCATGAAGAGCCCTGTATCAGTGCAACTCCTGCCTGGCAGCAATCCTGCCCTCCGCCGGGTAGGTTCCTCTCTTTTTCTTCTCCTTTTCCTAATAAACTTGTCATTTTAAACAATGGAATCTTATCAGGGCCTCCCTGGTGGCCAAGGGGTTAGCGTGCAGCACTATGAAGCTCTATGTAGCCACTGTGGCACGAGTTCGGTCCCTGGCCATGGAGTGACCCACGTGGTGCAGCAGACCACTCAGCAGTGTATTTCAGTCTTTCTGCCTGTTCTGCTCCCCACTCTGTCTATGGTGAATCCTCTCACCCCTACACCTCTGGCCTGCACCCTAGTTCCTGTGTGCATAAATATTTTTAAAAAATAAAAAATAATGTACCTGCTCTTGCCTGTCTGTGCAAATACCTTCATGCCTTGGGGAAATTTGCTGTGTCTAAAAGGAGAAATCCCATGAAACTTTTCTTAAAGAGAACCCAAGGACACAACTCACTGAATCCAACACCTCATGAAAATGACTTCATGTAGAAGGCGCACAGAACCCTGTCTGAGCCCTCAGGTGACTAAGTGAGCTGCTATACTAGAATGCTTAGCTCAATGTCAAGTTTTCATCTTCTGGCACGATAAAATAAAATAAATGTGTGTTTGTCTTCTGTGCATGGTTTTTTTTTTTTCTGTTATTCCACTTCTTAAGGTAAAGTTCTCTAATTTTCATTATTTTTGTGTTCTAAAAGAGACATCTATTCTGTAAATTTCTTTGAACAGATTTTGCTGCATGTTGTAACTTAAAGCATATTTTCTTCCTTGTTCTCATTGTCTCTTAGCTTCAACTATTTTTTACAAGCATGTTTATATTCTCAAGTTTCCAGGTTTTGGAGACATTTTCATTTTTTTGTTGCAGATTTTCCTTACTGTGTTGTAGTCAGAGAATATATCAGTAATATCACTTTAGAAAAAATTTAACCAGTTTAACCTTATATGATAACTTTCCCCTCTGCCAAGTACATTGGAGAAGTAATGTACTCCTCCGCTGCTTGTTGAATGCAGAGTCCAGAAATGCCCTCCTAGTTTTCAGGCTTTGATCTCAAAAGTACTCTCAAAAATAAACCCAGATACCTTTTTCCCATGTCTGATGGTATTGCTTTGAGTTGCAGTAACACTGGTCTACAACACCGTGATTCAGTTTGATAGGGGCTGGGAGCGAAGACACAATGCATGGTGTCCACGAAATCTGCCTGCATCTTTTTATGGCCCGTCTACTCTGACTTAATTTTCCAGCCCAAGGACATGTCTGCAGGGTGCAGGGAGCCAGTGCTATCTGAAGACGAAGGCCATATATTGGGACGAACGTGAGGCCGGCTCTCCAGGTGGGTGGAAAGGAGCTCCTGGCAGTGGGGAAGACTGCTTACTGCTGAACCACTTGCTCATCTCACTATAAAAAGCCAGCTGGAAATGAAATAGTAAAGCAGTTCCTTTAGGGTGTTTACCCCCTTCCAGATTGCTGGCTACCTGGTTAAGTCGCAACGTAAAGATTCAATTACTGTGTCTGCTTTGTCATTTGGTGGTGGCAGATGGCCCGAACTCTGGTCTTTGGGTTATAGGTTCACCTCTCCTCATATATGTTACCACACCCCACCCACAGCAAAGTCACCCATAGCCCTCCCACATAGGAACACCTGTATCATTATCTGACATTGGATGGCTAAAAGATGGGGCAATAAAAGGAAGGCGATAACTCTAGGGCAGAAAGAAATCTTGAGTGTGGTATTACAGAAAGAACACCTGCAATTTGAGTCTGTTCCCGAAAACAAGTTTATCAATGTTAGCAATGAAGCAAATTACCTTCTCTGAACCCCTAAATTTACACTGGCTTTCTACTATGAGAATTTAGGAAAATCAAATGTTTACGAAATTTATGCTCTAAGGCTAAACTGCAGCCTCCAGTTTTTAAAAGTACATTTGAATCTGCTTAAGGGCTGGGTGTGTTGCTATATGCATAAAAGAAAGGAAGCCCAGAGCTTTCTGTCAACTGGATTATACTTTGACCTCCTAATGGCTAAGAATGACAATTCTGAGGGCATGAACTGAAACTAAGGTGAATTGGCTGTGACATCATAATTCATTTCTGTTCTCACTATGATACAGTGACAGGACATGTCTCTTGGCCTGCCTCAGATAAGCATTCTTACCTGTTGCATTGAACAAGTTTGTCTTCTTGCAGTCTAAGGAGAGACACAAGGTCCCTAAGAAGGAAGATAAGGAAATAACACTCTAAGGAAGTTAAACATAGGGTGTTAACAAAGCAAGTGAGCACCAGGCTGAAATCTCCCTGAGCCTGCACCAAAAGGACCAGCAGACCCTTTCCCCTCCCCTTTTTAAACCTTTATATAAATAACCCTGCCCTTTGCCAAAGACCAGGGCTGGGTTTCCAGATACAAGTCTGCTGCCTCGGTTTGTCCACAGATTTAAACTACTTTCCTTCTCCTCAAACTGTTTCCTTTTATTGGCTGAGGGAAACTTGAGGCCGGATGTGGTATCAATGACACATGTTCAGTAACTGATTGACTCTAAGTCCCGAATTGCGTCTTAAAGCACTGCACCTAAGTTCAGATGACAGCTGCATGCAAAACTATACGGCTGTCATCTTGGTGGTGCAGGTGTTACAGGGCAGGGAGAGGGACACCCCTGAACCCCCAAACCTGCCTACTCTAAATGGGTTCTGCCATCAGCCGCATCAAAACATGTCAGACTTTAATGAAAAGGGACTTTAATTCAGGGAGTATACAACACAGAAGACAAAGAATATAGTTTCTAAATCAAACACCTTAAATGACCCATCCCCTCGTGGCCAAAAGTCCCCCCAAAAGGGACTGGGCCCGGCCTGGGCAAGGCCTGAAAGCCGCCACGAGACTAAAGCACCTTCTGGCCAGGACCCATGGAAAAGGGTCAGACATGGCCAGATGAGTCTGGGAGGAAAAGAGCAACATCAAAATCAACATAAACACGGCCACAGTCACCTCCCCACGGGTCTCTCGCCCACATCTGCCTTAGCCAGTCCAGGGCCAGGACACAAGCCCGGCTTCTGCCTCACAGGCTCACTACCCCATGTGGCTTCCTCAGGGCTCCTTCTGGCTCTCCACCCTGCTTCTCTTCAGATCTTCTCTTCTCCCCTTTCTCTCTGCTCCGCTGCACCCTCCTGAGTGGAGCAGCGAACCTGGAACTTCCCCTTTTCCTGGGGACCCCTCCCCCCCCTTACACAGGGACCAAAGCAGCAATATCCCTTAGAGACTTATTTCAAAAATATTCCGAAAACGGAGGACCAAATCATCATTTAAAAAAAAAAA